AAAAAAAACAAAAACAAAACTACACATCGCATCGACAGTGTGCTGTACCAAATTACATCCTACTAATATGAATGTAGATTTCATTGCAAAAACAAAAAAATTAAAATCATTTTGACCTGAGGCAAATATTTGGTTGTTTTCTTTCTTTTTTGGTGGGGTAAGCGGAGCCTTCACATTCAGAACCAAATCGTCTTCTAAATTAGGAAAAGCTCATGAGTACCTTTAATTAGGCCTTGGTAGAAATATGCTACTTTAATAATTGTTTGTTTGTTTTGGGGGTTTGCCTTTTCTCAGCGTAGTGGCATTACTACTGTCTTTGGAATAATAGGTCAAGGATTCAAATCCTGCCCAGGGCATGCATCCAGGATGGAGCTCCAGGAAACACGAGTGAAAGATATTTAATTGAAGCCAGGATTTTATCCTGTTGGAAGAAGCCAACAACAGAAGATAGAAGAAGGGATCCAGGCACGATGGATCCATTGTTTATGCCAGATTTTACATGTTGCAGCAGAAATTGAGATTCAGCAAACCAGGAAGTGTTTTTTCCAATCTTCTGCTATCCAGTTTTGGTGATTGTAGCCTGTTTCCTGTTCTTATTTGAGTTACTGTTGCCATGTTCAAAGAAGTGCAGCTCAGGTTGAAGTAGCTTGCAGACTTCATGCTATTTATTGCAAATATTCTTTCGCATCTTCTGGCCCAAATGCAATTTCTGAACCTTTAGTCCCTCTATTATTTGGCTTTTTTAGCTGCACTCCCAAGGGATAAAAAAAAAAAGAGTTTTACTAATAATTTTCTGGAGAAAACAGGCATAAAGTTCTTTAACAATCACAAAATAAAAACCTGTACAGACGTTTCGTTTTTGGAAGACTTTAAAATTGAAGTTCTTGTCAGTCCAGCACTGACTGATTCTTTGATAATAAAGTAAAATGCAGACATCCCAATCAGGTACAGCTTTATTTCAAAGTTTAGGTATGCCCATCAGCAGCCCAACAGCAACCCAATTACATTTCCCCTCCAGAACACAGACTTCAACACGAAACTGTAGCACGTCATGTTGTCTAAATACGATGAATTGCAAATAGGAAAAGGTGAAAAGGAAAAAAAAAAAAGAATCAGAAACTGACCTCATCCACTCAAAATCTGCCAGTGGCCAGTAAACCTAAAACTGTAACTTCAGGATGTAGTTTTAGCATCACACCAACCTTAGCGCTGGCACTTACTTGAGACAGAGACAGTTCAAGGACAGAGAAAAAGCTGTATGTATATATCACATATGGTGGGAAAATACTACTAAGCAGTAAGTCAGTGATTTTGAAACAAGTAACAAAAAACAACACGTTTTGAAAATGGGTCTAAGGAAAAACTGGAGGTGCATTCTTCAATGCTACAGTATTTACATGCATGTGTGGAAGCAGATGTTCTACAGAGATGGGGACGTGCTGACAAATATCAGATCCTGTCCAGTATGATTTGAGAGAATCATCATCTCTGCAGCACTTCTGCTTCCACTGCTGAAACAAAATCATTGTACGTGGTTTTGGGGGTAAATGCTGTATAAAAGGAGCCACAATATGTTTTATTCTTCTGCTCCCTTGAATGCAGGCATTTTTTGCATGTTGACATCTGGTTTGATGTTATAACAGAAACCAGGGCAGGAAAAGGCACTTCAAAGTGTGGATGTCTCTTCGATTTCCTGGCAGTTCGGTCTTAAGCCTTAAAAAATGAAAAGGTCAGCTGGTTGCCTCCCTGCAAGCTTCGAGTCCTCCAAAAGAAAAACTGGGGACTCTGAAAGAGACACTGAGTCATTTGAAGATCAGAAAGTAAAAAATAAAATAAAAAGAAATAATAAAAGTCCAGGTTAATGATGTACTTTGATAGACTTACAAATAAAAAAGATCTGAGCTCTGTGATGTGGTTCTAGCCCTCAATAGAGACCTCTGGAACAATGTGTGCATTCAGCGCCGTCTCCACTGGCACCTCCTGTTGATAGTATTGACAAGACAATGTTACTACTAACATTAAGCTATCGCTCCTCTCTGAATACCTTAGAAAAGCCATACTGGAAATATCTCATTTTTAACTTTAATTCTACTCAGTAAATTTACAATGCTCCTTAAAAAAAAAGTATTACCACTGAACTGAGCTGCACAGACTCCACAGAGATTTCCATCTGACATTCCACATCACGGATTTCTGACTCTGATGCTTCTGACTGCCTGTCCAGACATTTTGACTCTGCGGCATCCTGTAAAGGAAGAGAGAGAGAAAAACGAAGGGAAGTTCCCAAAATATATGCTTTAGAAGACAGCGTTCCATACAAAGCTACAGTATATGAATGTTAAGAAAGTATAATGACCGTATGTTCTGCATGTGCAGCAGCAGGTTCAAACTCAGAAGTCGTCACATCCACGGAGTCTGGTTGGGCACTCAAAGTGTCATTCACGGGTAAAATTTCCTAAATGCCACAGAAGAAGGGTATGTTAGATGGTTAAACAAATTGGGCTTCTGAATGAAACACAGTAAAATCCTCCTGCCCATTCCATTGAACAGACTAGAAAAATTACTTATAATGAAAATAATGCATCAGGATGGAACCAGCTACCCCAGTAATTTAAAACTCAAGTCCAATACACTCCAACTGGGCACAATTTTAAATAAAGGAAGAAAGCATCCTTGTGACATGGTGTTCAAATGTAACAACAGGAACAACGGCAGTTTTTCTGTTTTTATCATGAACATTATACTGCAGGTTTTTGAGCAACTGCTCATAATAATTAACAAAAAAAAACCCCAGAATAATTTTAACGTTTAAAAAAAAATCCTTGTATTATAATTTAATGTATAATTTTAACCATATATTTTTATGTTCTTATTCCTTATTTGTTTAATTCTGTAGTCTCAACGATTTCAAGAAAGACTTAAATCGGACCCTAAATGTCCACAGACTGAAAATCTTGGGCAATTTCATTACCTGGAACTACACTTAATTTAGCATCACTTTATAATAATACTACTACAGTACATAGTGCTCTATAAGCATTTAAATATTTACTACAAGACATTTAAACTGCACTCCAGCAATGAGATTGCTACATATGACGGAGAAACATATCCCCACCTTCTTTACCATAAATTCCACCCAGGATTAGTCTATAAATGTTTGCCTTTCCTTCTTGTGTCAATCACTTGTAAGCCTCCTTTAATTTCAGTTAATTTATTTGACCTGATTAGCCTTCAGTGATTTTCTGAACCGTTCATATGTACACTGGTAAATTCCTGTTTGCTTAGCTGTCACCTGCTGGACAGCAGCAGACTCAGTGGCAACTTCTACTGCCGAGACGGATTCTGTCACAACAAACTCATCAACTGCTGTGGCATCAATCAGCGTGGCCACAGCATCCTGAATGTCAAAGGAGAACAAGATGAGAGAGAAAACTGTTCTTGTAAAATAATTAAAATAATGGTTTTTAGCATATGAGTAGTACATTTCTGTATTGAGGATTACATTTAAAATCTTTTTACCTCTTTGGGTTTAGCCTCTTGTGCTGTAGCCTCAGGGCTGGTGTCAGGTACCTTGTGAAACACAGGTGCTGATGTCATTGCTATGTCATATATGGAGATTGTACTTTTTTTTCCATGCAAATGCTGCCAAATAATCTAAAACACAAGTAATAAGGGAATTTCTACTTTACTTTTTTATCGACAGAGAGGGAAAAATACTCACTGCAGCAGCCTCCACAGAATCAACAGGAGTGTGCTGATGTAAACAAACAAACAAAAACAAACAAACAGGACAGAGTGTATCTTTAGTCTTTGCTATTAAATTTTGGAAAAAAAATACCTTACCCTTGTGATCATTTGTTCTGCTTATGACAAAACTTTCATTAATATTTAGGCCACATGCTATACAAACAGAAGATGGCTACAAAATGTGAAAAAGTCAATGTATTCTTGTAAAGACTAAAAACACAAAAAGAGAAAAGAAGAAAGTATTTTCATCAGGTGTCACCTCTGTTTTTATAGCAGTCTCAGAAGGGACTTCGGGTGCATTCTCCTCCGCCAACATCTCTTTCCCATCTTCAGCAGCTGTGGTTGTAGGACTAACAGCCGCTTCAGTCACTCGTTCGCTCTCAGGTACATCTGTGACAACCTCCACCACTGATTCAGCAACAGTCTCTGTAACCACCTTGCCCAGAGGAGGCT